ATGTAAAATTTGTTGTTCAGTCATTTGAAGTCACCATCATATGTTGGCACTTGAATACAAGTGAATAAGACAATGGATATGATTGGGGCTCTAGTAACAATACGACACTACCTACTAAGTATATATACCTGTAGCTACAGTATGTGTGAGTCTCTCACAAATTAAACAACCACCCTAATACTCTCTCCTCTCTCTTCCTCTTTGTTTCTACATACATCCCTTATGTATGATCTCTCATAAACTAAATCATTGCTCCCATACTCTCTCTTCTCTTTCTCTCTATTTTTTTCTCTGCCAACAACTCCAATGCCTCCGAGGTTTCCATACTACTTTTCCCTTTCACCTCTGCATCTTCATATACTTACATATGACTGCAGGTATGCTCCGGCCTCACCCACCTCACATGCACACCGAGTCCCTTGGCTCAATTATTGTAGACGGACATATTACGATATCTCATGACTTCGACACAGAGTAGATAGATAGTCACTACTATATGCATAAGCACAACGGCAAATAAACGAAGAGTTAAAAAAAATAGATAAGAAAGAACCAGTAAGGCATAGCATGTGTGCAGCACTATACAAGGGATAAAGATGAAATGATAGAAGTGAGATGATATGTCATATACCATATGGAAAGCTATACAACTGAGATAGAAACAAAAGATAGGAATAGAAATAGTCCTGTGCTTGTAGATTTCTACATTAAGTACTAGATTCCAGCTAATGTAAGCAGCAATGGGACAAAACCTCCCAGTATCAAACAATTGTGAAATGCAAAGACTCCAGGACTCATTGCTCCATTCCCATTCCCATTCCCATTACCATCAATGACCAAAGTAGTGAAAGGAACCACAGTACCCATGAGTGTTCTCTGAGTATTTAGCATGCTATTACCAGTAACCTCTTCAGTACAAACCCCTGAGCCATCTTCATCGAATGTACAGTTGACCATGTCTACCACTGTCTGGGTCACTATGTTATTGATGACGGGGGTGACAGAGAGCCATTTTCCGGCTGAGGATTCCACGAGAATACCTATAACAAGGATCCAGCCATATTCAGCATGAAAGCAATAAGAAATGACCAGTGGTACGTGCCATCCCATGTTTGAGTGAAGCGTAGCTTGCCAGATTGTTCAGAGGCTTGAATAACCTCATGATATGAATATGTTGTTTCACTTCCTTGGTCAGATGACAAGGTGCCTATGGGACTAATGGTGAAAGAGTCTGTTGTGGACAAAACCTGTGATTGTGTGCTGGTGGGCTCGAGCTGGATATCAAATAATGTCACAGTTTCTTGGGCAACTTGACATCTCTCATTAGCAATAGTATGGAGAGCATAGATGCACCTACAGCACAAGCACGAAAAAAGAAAAAAAATCAATAAGATTGAAAGCTTCATTACTGCCTGTGAATTGAGGAGGCTTCTGAGGTACAGCTTTTAAATGCTATTTATGATAATGATCTACTTAGTAAATCAGCCAGGTACCTTTCTTAGCCCGCAGAACAAAGCAGAGTTGACATCACTTTTACATCACAAATTGCATGGCCAGCCTTGTGACATGGAGTATACTATAGCTGAGCTTTTTTTGGCAGATGGATATCAACGGATAATCACTAAGATCAAGGTTCATGGTTTTTGATGTCAGACGGTCAACGTGAAATTTGGAGCCCCCACAAGGAAGAACGCATTTAGTACTTTATAATTTGTGATTTTTGCGTTGTAGATTAATCTTCAAAATATTCATGTTTATTCTGTGGGCATTCAGCTCCGTATCAGCGAATCTGACAAGTAATCAATCCCAGTGGGAAGTCGAGGTTTTTTTTTCGTTAAATACGTTTAAAACGTTTTCATACGTTTTTGCCAAACGTGATAAATAAGAGCTAAAAAGCGGCCGGATCTTGTTTAATGATTCGGGCCGTTATTTAAGCCATCAATCCTTAGTTTAGAGGTAAATAGCTTAGCTACTTCCTGCCCCTCCCTTTGCATAAAGACATCGTAGTACTTAGCAAGCCAGCTCAGCAATACCGCTCCAAATACTAAGGGTATATTTAGAGCGGAATAAACGAAAATAGTACAAAATTCTTGTGTTTATTCCGTTCTTGCGCGTTTTTTTCACGTTTGAAAAGCGGGACCAAAGTTTGAACGTCAAAAAAGTCAGAAAACGTGAAAAAAAACCTTAACTTCCCACTGGGGATCAATAATCAGCGTCACCGTGATCTTCAAATAATTCAAATTTCACATTCTGATGACATTGTTTGTGTCCTCTAGCTGTATGATAACATCAGAAGACTAGCTAGCTGATCAGCCCCATCAGGCAAATAAAAATAAAGAACAAAGTGACAATACTATCAGCTTCCAACATTATATTCCAGAATGCCCACAGAGTCAGACTAGCATTAATATTATCATAAACTATAACTGATATCAAGTAGCACTAGATTCAACTTAACATAAGCAGCAATGGGATATAACCTCCCAATATCAAATAATTGTAAAATGCAAATACTCTAGGACTTGATGCTCCATTTCCATTCCCATCAATAACCAAAGTGGTCACAGGAACCACACTCCCTGTAAATGTTCTCTGAGTATTCAGGATGGGGTCACTAGTGACATCCTGAATACAAACACCCGAACCATCTTCATTGAATGTACAGTTGACTACATCTATTGCTGTCTGGGTCTGGCTTGGAGTCGCTGTGCTATCAATAATGGGGGTGACAGAGAACCAGTGTCCGCCTGAAGATTCCACAAGAATACCTATAATAAGGAATCCAACGATATTCAGTATGAAGACGATAATAAATGACCACAGCGATACATGCCATCCCATGTTTGAGTAATGCCTAGGCTACGAGACGTCAAAGAGGCTTGCATAACCTCACGGTATGAATACGTCGTTTCACTTCCCTGGTCAGATGACAAGGTACCTATAGGGCTGATGGTGAAAGAGTCTGATACAGACAAAGCCTGTGAGGGTGTGCTGGTGGGTTCAAGCTGGACTCCGAATAATGTTACAGTTTCTTGGGCAACTTTAAACCTTTAATTAACAATAGCATGAAGAGTGTAGATGCACCTACAGCAAAAGCATGAATAAAGCAAAACAATCAATGAGATTGAAGGTTTCATTGCTGGATGGGAGTTGTCCTGTGAATTGAGGACGCTTCTGAGGCACAGCTTTTAAATGCTATTTATGATAATGATCATCTATTTAATGAATCGGTCAGGTACTTTTCCTAGAGTACAGACAAAACAAGAGTTGACATCACTTTTGCGTCATCACAGCCTTGTGGCATGGAGTGCATTAGAGCTAAGCTTTTTTAGCAGATGGATATCAATGAATGATAGTAGGTTTAGGTACTTTGACATTGGACGCAAAATCTGAAGTCCACAAGGGAAGAACACATTTAAGAGACTTTTATCATTTGAGATTTTTGTGTTGCAGGTTGGTTTTAAGAATAATATTAATGTCTATTTTATTAGCATTCAGATCTGTATTGGCAAATAGTCTTACTCTCGGGCTGCATAACCCAGTTGGTAATTTACCAATCTTGACTTGAAAAATTATATTTAATAGTGACTATAACTGATATTAAGTACTAGATTCAACTTAACATAAGCAGCAATGGGATAAAACTTCCCAATACCAAATAACTGTAAAATGCAAATACTCCAGGGCTTGCTGCACCATTTCCATTCCCATCAACAACCAAAGTAGTCAGTGGAACCACGTTACCCGTGAATGTTGTGTTAATTTTCACCAGGGGATTATCAATCTCCTCAATACAAACACCCGAACCATCCTCATTAAATGTACAGTTTAGCATGTCCACTGCCACCTGGGTTTGGCTTGGAGTCGCCGTGCTATCGGTAACAGGGGTCGCAGAGATCCAGTATCCACCAGAGGATTCCACAAGGACGCCTATAATAAGAAACCCAAACATATTCAGCATGAAAGCAACAAGAAATGACTGCAATGATACCTACCATCTATGGTTGCAATCAAAACAAGGCTGCCAGACTTTTCAGAGACTTGAGCAACTTGATAGTATGAATATGTTGTTTCACTTTCTTGATTGGATGACAAGGTGCCTATTGGGCTGACGGTGAAAGAGTTTGTTCCAGAAAAAGCCTGTGATTGTGTGCTGGTGCGCTGAACACCAAGTAATGTTACAGTTTCTTGGGCAACCTGTCATCTTTAATTAGCAATAGTATGGAGAGTGTAAGATGCACCTACAGCAAAAGCACGAATAGCATAAAACAATTGCTGAGATTGAAGGTTTCATTGTCCGGCGAATCGAGGATGCTTTCGAACCGCAATTTTTAAATGCTATTTATGATAATGATCTGTTTAGTAGGTCAGCAAGGCACAGTTTCTTAATGCGCAGACGACATCACTTTTGCATCATCAAGTGCATGCCTAGCCTTGTATCTCGGAGTAGACTATAGCCAAGCTTTTTTGGCAGATGAACATCAATGGACAGTCACGAGATGACTAGAAAAATTCTTTTGATGTTAGACAGTCAGTGCGAAATTGGGAGCACCCCCACCCATCGCACAAGGAAAAGCACATTTAGTAGACCTTTATTATTTTGCTTTTTTACGTTGCAGGATAGTCTTCAAAATAATATTTTGTTTGCATACAGATCCATATCAGCGAAATCTGACAAGTGAACAATAATCAATACCCCCGTGACACCAGGAAAAATCTCACATCCCGATGTCATCGCTTGCATCACCTATAGCTTTACGATAACTTTTTTGCTAGAAGCCCGAGTATTTGGAAATATAGTGGCCGTGGATTAAGCAAGCCATGCACTATTACTGTTTATTTGTGAGGCATACTTCCACTAAGCATGCAATATTTTTTTTTTTTTGAAAAAGTACTAGAGCTCAAACTGATTGCTTGAGTAGAAAAATGCTAAACACCATTTGTTACTGTACATGCAGATGGAAGGTATTGAAGCCAAAAAACTTTTACGAAGCATGTCATGCCCACTGGCTGGATTGAACAACCGACCTCACCATTCTTTAATATGAAATCCGTTATACGAGTGGCGCGCTCTACCACTGAGCTAAGCGGGCAGTATTAGGCCATGTTTTGGTCTCTGAGGTGTCAGAAGCTTCAGTTGTCAATGGGAAGCTGAAGGAATAAGTATCAAGTCTAGTAGCGACTTGATGATACGACTTGGCCTCGAAGCGATTAACCCTCTTACCGGGAAGATGTAAAACAGATCCAGGTAGGAATGTAATGTACGAAACACTTTCGTATTCTTATGCACGCGCAAGTATTTGAGAAATTACAAGCTGCTGGAGGGAAAAAAGCCCAAAGTAATTTATTCTCCGGTCCCTCTGGTTGCATCGAACGACAAACCTGAAGTGAGATTCAAGGTTGCAGTTGGAGAATGGTCATAAATGAACTTGAAAAAACCAAACACGGTAGATATCCTTCGAAGATAGGTTACCTTGCACGAAAATTGGAATCAATCGACTACAATGCCTCATTCCACTGTCCACTTTGGTATTTACACGCGTATATATTGAATAACCGACATCAGCGTACTAGTGCAAGACATGAGGAGGACGCTCTAATAAAGGGCAACAACAAGTACTGTAGTGTTTTGGAGATCTGGGTGGATCCGACAAACATGGAAAGTAGAGTATCTTCTGGAATGATAATTGTGCTACGGCTCCGACTCCCGCGAACGCCTCATCCGTTATCTACTTCGTGCGTGCCTTGGACGCAACGTGCAGAGGAGCTAACCCTAACCCATCTGACCTGACGTAATCACCACGTGTACTTCTCCTGGTTATCGACGACGACGACGAACCAAACAACAATAACAACCTTCTCTTTCAAAAATGACGACGCTGTCTACCATAACAGCGTCGTCGACAGCCACATTTACAACAGCTACACCAACCCTTACAAATGCTAATGACGGGGCAAGCAATAACCCTCCTTCACTCCAGGAATCGATGATACGGTCTACAGAAGTGTGGCAGAATGACTTGGAGGGACTGTTTCATCATGCGAAAGACAGGTTTCCGGATGTAGTTTGGGAGGTTGGAGAGGATGAAGAGAATGTTGAAGAGGTTTGGGGGCATAAAGGTGTGTTTTTGAACCAACCGAAAACTAGTACTAATTTTTGGTAGCTATTGTGTACGCCCGAGCCCCACCTTCATTCCAATCCCGGTACTTTATCAAACCGCCGACGACATTCGACCCAATGCTAGGAACCATGTCTCCCGCTCTATCACGAACTCCCTCTCCTTCTCCATTCCGTGCTTCACCTATTCCAAGTATGCACACTGCTGTGACTGCGCAGACCAGTTCCGGGACATCTACTCCCAATCCCACTTCTTCCTCAAACCCACTACGCTTACACGCATCTATAACCCCTGCTCTATTCTCCAATGAACTCGAATACCTCTACACGGGTCAAGGGTTCGGCGAGGCTTTCGAGTTTCTTTTTGATGCTTCCCACGATGCAGGGGGACCTTCTCTCGATGATATGGATGAAATTGACGCGGAGGAGTTGAGAATAGACAAACTCCGCAAGGATCTCGTGTTTATGTGGAGGAGTAGACTTTATTCCGACGTGCGGATCGCTTTGCACGTCAATAACAACGCAAAAGAGAGTGTATCTTCCTCTGGGAACAAGGATCACGAGTCTACGACTGCGGTGTTTAGCACGCACAAGTTTATCCTCGTGTCTAGGTCCCAGTTTTTCAGAAACATCTTGTACCAATCTCCTTCATCGTCCAAAGCACTTACCCTCTCTTCTTCCTCGAAAAACAACAACACGTACTTTATCGACCCCACTACCTCCCTTCCAACTATAAATCTCCCTTCTCCGCCCTTTACCCCCGCCTCATTACACTTTCTCCTCGGATACCTATACACCGGGACCCTCGCATTCTCACATCGCTCATACGACCTTACAACAGCATTCTCAATCTACCTCTCCGCACGCCACCTCTCGCTCAAAGTCCTCGAAGAAGAAGTCCGCGCTCGAATAATCATGGAAATGGCCCACGGGCTCTTCCACGCCTATCTCAGTTTTCCCGAATACGAGCGCGTAACAGGAGGTGTTTGGGGTGCTTCCGGATCCGCGACGCGGAGTGCAGGGGGTTGTAGGTGTAAACAGTGTTCAAGAAGGGCACCGAGGATACTCCAATTCGCGTTGAGTCTGAGTTCGCCTTCTACGGCTTCGCAGGCTCTTCTTACGTCTTCACAAATGCAAACACAGGCTTCAGGGAAAGGAGAAGGAGATCCGTTCCTTGAACGAGGTGCTCGAAGGGCACTTGTAGGGTTGTATGGTCAAGGATGGGTTACGCAAGAGTATTCTGCGCTCAGTGCGAGGATTAGGGAGAGTGTTGGGAGAGGGGTTAGGAAGAGGGTTTGGGGGGCTGAAGTGGCTTCTGCTTCCAACTCTAATGCAAAGGATGCTACACCAGGGGCGATTACGAAGGAGATGTCGAGGGATACAACGACTACTGTAAAGACGCAGAGGCAGGATATTACTAAAGTACAAGGAAAGAAGAACAGAGGTAAAGCCAACGGAAACGTGTTCCGTATCCTCTGGGCAGGTGAAGCTGCCCTGAACGGAAAACGGCTCGCTTCTCCTTCTCAAAACTCCAACACCAACTCGATATCGTTTGCACACACCGCCGCTGCTAATGCAAGGAGATCTCTAGCAAACGGACACGGACTCGGCCATGCAGATGAAGACGACCCCGATTTTGCAGTCGGAGGACCAGATAGACCAGCTTGGCTCGAAATTGTCCGTACAGATCTCTTAAAAGCTCGAGAAGCATGCGACGAGTACCTCGCTGAACGATGCGAAGAAGCTTTTCGTGTCCCTCGAGAAATCAGACGACTCTTGCGACAAACTGGGGATGTGTCTATGGAGGTGGACGATGAGGAGGAGGAAGATGAAGAAGACGATGTTGCACAGGAATGGTATGATATACTCATTCGGGGGAGTGTAGTTGCTCCTCCTCAGGCGAATTATGCTTCGACGTATGCGTCTACGACGAGTAGTTCGGCGTATCATTCGACGTATTCTGGTGCGACTAATGGAGTTAATGGGAATGGGAATGGGATGACGGGTGGTGAACAGATGTATCAGGATTCGGTGCATCTAGGACAGGTACTGGCGAGTTTGATGAGGGGGTTGAGTGAGGGGAATGTGGGGAGGGTGTATCAGGTTTTGGTGAGTGCGAAAAGTCTTTGTATTGGGTTTTTGGACGAGTTCGTTGGGGTGTTTTGGCTAGTGAAGAAGAAATAGGACGAGATGAAATGATCTAGGTTGTGTTCGTTAGAGTTCGAAAAGGATGGAGAAGAGAAAAAGGGCTGCGTTACCTGATGTTGCGGTGGTACATCGTTGTCGATAATTCCTTTTTCTGTCTGGTTTCTGTACGTTTACTGACCTTTATCTTCGTTCACTGGAACAGGTCGCAAACATCCTGCTTTTACCAAACCCATACTCTCGTGGTGATGCTCGTGAAGGCTCTGGAGACGGTGCATTGTTGGGAGGAACGAGTCATGTTAGAGTTCAGGTGAGTTGTTTTCCTGGTGTTTTCTTTCTTCTGCCTTTTTTTGTGGTCGTCGACATGTGCTTTGTTTCTTTTCCCCTTTGTTTGCTTCTTTTTTTAATCTGATGACGGCAATGATGGTGGCGAGCACTATAATGGTCTACGTATGCGTGCCTGCGTACCTAAATGACATGACCTGCAGTGATCATCCCGATGACGTTGCCGTTGATGTTCATTCCTATCTGCGGTGCGTCTACGTCCAAACAACATTCGAAGCGGGTGTTTTGCTGTCGTGTCGTGGTTTTAAATGTCGTTTGTGACTACTATTTCTTGCTTCTTCCGCCTTTTGTGTTCATATTTATTGGGGTTTGTCCCGGTACCAAACCAACCAACTACGTTTCCCTCTTTCTCTTCTTGCTGTATACCCTGTCTTTTTCCATCTTTTTCCGAGGATGGAAGAAAAAGTCTCCGATAAAGAGACTGGAAAAAGGTCGCTGAGAAGTAAACTACGAAGATGGAAATCGATGGACGAGTTGGGTATGAATATGCGTTTGACAACGAGGTCGAGGACAAGCCCAAACATAAATCTCGATGCAAGCACGAGTATTGTGCGAGAGTCGGAGGCAAACGTTAGCAGTATTCCTTGTTTCTTTCTCTTTCTTCGTCTTTTTTGTCAAACAGCGGCTAAACAATCGCCTTCCATTCAGGTGGAACAAACACGGCTGGATATACTCTCATGGATCAAAAGACGTTGGCGAGGCGTACGCGAAGCCGGGGGTTTCCTGCTTGCTGGTGAAGAATGGGTCTACAAAGTCAAAGACCCCAAGGATGGGAGTGTTAGAGAGGAAGTGAAAGAGGGTAAATTGGAGGGCTGGGCAGTCAAGGAGATTGCTGATTGTGCGTCGCCGCTTTTCCCGCCTCTTCCTTCATCACACTAATATGTCTTATTCGCAGACATTGAAGTCCCCGTCGAAGAACTATTACAACATCCCTCAACTGGAACCACAGGTACCTCTACCCCTACTTCCCTCCATCCTCAAGGACAATACAGCTCTCGTTCCAATACACCTACTCAACAGCGTCCCCTCCGAGTACGAAACGGTGGAGACTCGGATATGATCTCTGTCAATTCTGGAATCTCTGCTTCTCCTTCACTCTCACCTTCACTCTCACCTTCACTCTCACCTTCACTGGCGCCTTCAACGACGTCGAGTGTGACACCTTCAATGAGAGTCTCTGTCCTGGCGAAAAAAGCTTCTGCTGCTGGGTCTCACAAGCTCAATGTCAATGTTGGTGCTAGGAAGAGTACTTCGTCGTTGAGAAGCGTCACCTCTACCGCTACTACTCAATCTCAAGCACAGAGGAGAAGAGAAAAAGCTGTCCCTATAGGAGGAGGCGACAGACCAGATTCCAAGTTGACCCCCGCAGGACCTGGAGCGATGTCTCCCATGAGTGGGATCGTAGGCCTCCCAGAGGTCGTTATCGAAGGTGATCAGGACGCGTTGGATGAACAGGATGAAGATGTCGAGATGGGTTCTTCGACT